ATATCACCAGCCTACAAACAAAAAAGGCAACACATAACATCCAATGTGTTTTTATTACTAAAATCCAGTATAACACCACTTATTGTATATAGTCAACAAAACATGTGTCTTACCATGGCATGTATATTTCGTTTCATCTTAAACAAACATTCATAGAAAAAAAAAAAAAAAGGGCCAGAAAATGTTATTTTTTGATCCTACGAACTTTTTTAGGTCCCCAAACCTCCAGCCTCCCGGCAGGGCATCCGCAGGGGGCCCGGAATATCAGCACAGTCCTCCCATTGGGCGGAGCCATTTTCTTGAGCTCGGCTTCCAATTCTTCCTGATCCTGCCCCAATTCGAGCAGGGCTGCCTCATTGTTGTCCACATAGTCCTCCGAAGGGGCTGGAGAGTACTTGACGCAATTTTCAGTTTCCAACTGAATATCATACTCCACCGCCCGCCTCAGCCCCCTGCAGTGAGGATTGCCGCACTTCCTGAGCCGGGCGTCCACGGCCACTGCCAAAACGATGCCGATCAGCACCGAGACAAAGCCGATGAAGTAAGGAATGGGATCATCCAGGACGAGATTTAGGAGGAAACCGTAAAGAATAGGTAATAGGTCGCACAAGAATAATTTGAAGTATGGGAAGATGAGAAAGGCCAAGGAGGCGAGGACTGATAGGAGAATGATGAAATCTAGGGCGGCCAGGGGAGAGTGGTTGCATAGATGATCGGAGAAAGGGTTCAAGGAATTAGTGCTGAAGCGGCGGGCCCTGGTCCGGGACGACGCCGCAGAATTGCGAGGGTGAAAAGCTCGGCAAAACTGGATCAAGCTCCGGCAATCGACCATTGCGAGCCTCATCCTCGGAGAATCCGATTGCTCAGTAGAGCCAAAACCGCTGTTTAATTGAGAGATAGAGAAAGGAAAATTTGAGATGGATTGAGTGATATGTCAGCGTTTCTGTAATCAGATATCGGAAATGGATTCATAGAATTGGGAAGAGATGCAAGGAAAGAGGACTGATTGACTTTGTTGAGGTGGTGGTAGAGGTAGCGGTGGAGCCCACCTAAGTCGAGCAATTAATTTAGGGTGAATTAGGTTAATAGAATCTTAATTCGTTTTTTTTAAGTTTGCCTTCCCCGTCGCTGACGTAGTCTCAGCTAGGGGTCGTCCTCGACCGCCCTCCCCACCCCCTAACACAGCGCGACTTCGGAACCTGCGGATGGCGGCGACTAGGAATGGACAGAGGTTCAATCGGAGGTGGCATCCCTCCCGGTCGGCAATTGACCAGCTTCTGGAGTTCTCTGCTCCATCGAGCGCGATTTTCCAGTGGGTGGCGGAAAGTCCCTCACTTTTTCCTCGTCTGCGATGGTTTGGAGTTGGCCTTTTTCGGCGGAGCTTCGCCTTTCTGGTGGGGCCTCGATCTCCGGTCGTCGGCAGACTGTGGTGGTGTCGGGAGGGGCGAGTGTCTTGGGGTGGGACGGGACCCCGGCGTAGGTCTGCAAACGAGCCGAGCCGAGTCGAGCATTGGCCTTATCGAGCAGGATTGAGTTTTTTTTAGCTGCTCGAGCTCGTCGAGCTCGGCTCGAGTTCGACTCGAAAATTAGGTAAAATTACCATTAAGCACCTATGCTAATTTATATAATAAGGGGTATTTTAGTAATTGATGTATCTCGCGAGCCGTTCGACGAGCCGCTCGACAAGACAAAATATGGGCTCGAGGTCGACTCGAGTTTGTGCTCGAGCCGCTAGAGCTCGACTCGAGTTCGGTTGAGGGTTCGATTTTCGCTCACCCTCCCATGTTCGGCTAGTGGTGTTAGGCGGCAGGGGGTCATGTGTTATTCCCCTCGTCTAGTGGTGTTAGATGAGTTCGGGTAGGGCTGTGGGAGTTGATTGCGGCTCTCTCGGTTAAAGATGGGTCGATTCTGGGATTGATTTGGGGTTCAGTTAGTTCTACTGTGTAGGCCTTCTGCAGTTTCTGTAGCAGCTTCTGGGCCTTGAATCCTTCTTGTGCCGATCGTTTCACTACTGGTTGGGCTATTTCGTTCGCCGGGGAAGGGCTCAGTTTGTTTTTGTTCTGTTTTGTTTTATTCTTGTAGGTGCGTTGTCGTTTTTTATGTGTTTTGGTTAGTTGTGTGTTTTAGGTTTGGGTCGTTGGCCCCGGTGGCCCGAGTGTGACTTTATTATCTTGTTGGGATCGTACACTTTGGCATTACTCTTTTGGGGTCGTCTCTGTCTTTTTTTTTTTTTTTTAATTTCCCCTTGGGAGTTTTTTAGTGTCGTTGTGTTATTTTTTGGTGTTTCTAGAGTGTATCCCCGTTGGGGACGGTTCTAGGCGGGCTTTAGGCCCGTTATCCCAATTTATTCAGCTTTTAGCTGCTTGTATTCAGTTGTTGGCTGCTTGTATTCAGCTCGTGGTTGTTCTTTTACACATTTGTGTGCTTTTTATAAAATCTCTATCGTTTCGAACAAAAAATAAACCCTCCCTTCTATCGCACCTACTCTGCACCAGATCCCCTTTTCATCGCCGCTCATCTAACTTCCGTCGATTTAGGCGCTCCCCATTCTGTGGGGCTCTCTGAGGTGCTCGGCGGCAGCAGCCCAGTTTTCTTGGAGGATTGGGATGTGTTGTTCTCTCACAGGCGAATGCGGAGCCGGCTTCTGAACAGGTATTCACCGTGCTTCAAGTGCTAGGGGCTGTAGATGACCGTCTTCCCGGTGTTCGTCCGCTATGGCGAATCCCCCCGGTGATTCTTCAAGTTAGGGCCGCACCCGTTTTCTTTCTTTTTGGGGCGATTCCATCAAATTCCACCGAGTTGATCCTCTTTTCTTGGTGGTAGATAGAGGGGTTGGCTGTCGAGGCCAAACTGAGGTTTGGGCTTTCGAGCTTTTGGACTGGTTTGGTTTGGTATCGTGTGTGGGTGGCTGAGGTGGGGGTCTCTAAACTAGGGTTGGGGCTTTCGTCTAGATTTGAGTTGGAGCGATTGGCGCCAGACTTAGTTAGGCATTCGTTTACAATTTCTGGATCGAACTCCGGGGCTGTGGCTCGGTCCGTATGGATGGAGGTCCGTTAAGCGTTGTCGTTGTGTAGTTTGGTGTAGCGTGTCTGCCGCGGGGAGGATTGTTTAGTCGATGTTGCTAGTTCTGTTTTGTTGTAGTTGTTTTTGCTTGTTTGCCAGTGTTTGTGTGTTTTGGTTCGTTTTGGCAATGTTTTATCTTTTTCTCTCTCGTTGGGAGTGTGTTTAGTGCATTTTACTGTTGGGAACTTTTGGTTTCTTCTCTTGTTGGGAGCTTTGTGTGTGTTTTTTTCCCTTTTGGGAGTGTGTAGTTGTGTTTTGTTTTGTAGTTTGACTCTAGGCTATTGTCGGTTTGTCAGCTGTACGTGTAGTTCCTTATATTGGGTCAACTATTCAGCTTATTCGACTGTTGGCCGCTTATTCTGCTGAGTAGTTGGTCGCTAGTGTCGACTTTGTTGTGAATATAAGATCTACCTATTGTTTCGACAAAAAAATAAAAAAATTAGGGTTGTTCTGTGATGATGTTCAAGAATTTTTTTTTTTAGATTTATCTTCCAATACGTTTTAACTTCTTTGAAAGTTTTAAGGTAAGGTGGTGCTTGGACAAGAAAAACATAAATACAAAAATAATTTTCAATCAATTTTCTAACAATCACCTTTTTTTATAAAAAAAAAGTTAAAATCTAATCAATATAATTAAATAAAAACTAACATCTTTTACACTTCAATATATACATACATTTTCTTTTACACACTATCCCATAAAAAACCCTTTTTTTTTCACTCCACGACTCACAAAATTATATGTGATATAAAAATTGTATGTCCAAATTAGCCGTATAAGTAACAATTACGTGGGATTTGTCGCATCTACAACAGCACATATCTAAATCGAACGCATAGTTAATAAATATGCGAAATACATTTGCATATTTGTAAATTGCATCTCAGTTTTGGGATAAATAAACTTCTCTCTTCGTCGCCCCCAATTCCGCTTCTTTTGTAACCCTAGCCCACATCGTCGCCAGTATTTGAGCCCCTCTCGGCGGTCATCCGGTTAGCCGACGGACTGCCCACCGCCGAGCGTCCATGCTGAAGGTAGCGGCTCTCCTCATCTCTCTCTCTCTTTCTCTTGCTGTTGGGGTGCGATTGCAGGTTCTCGGTGGATTTCTCGGAAATCGTCAGTTTGTTATTTTGGCCGCCGGAGCTCAGAGTGGAGAGGCAGGCAGAGAGTGGTTACAGCAGCTGGACGCGGCTCGGTTGGTCGCGCTAACCCTGTTCAATCCATCCCTCTCAGTCTTAGTCGATGGTTGCAGCTCCGGTCGCCGTGCAATTGGAAGTCTTCAGTCCAGTATTCTTTAAGCCGGCATTTTGGTTTGGTGGCGGGGGGCTTCGGCTTGTCCTCGGGGGCTGGGGGGCGATTGGTTTCGAGCTTTGGTCGGAGCTCCTTCTTCAGCCGGGTTGGCAGGTCACCCGGAACTGATGGTAGGCCATCTTTATTCTTTCAACATTTTTGACCTCTTGTGAAAAGTGATTTATGTGAAGCAATGGTTAGTTTTTTATTTTTCAGTTTAAACTTGATCTTTCGAAAGAAATTGATGAGAATCTTGATGTGCTTACTAAACTTGATCAGTATATTAGATTGACATGTGATAAGCATATGATGATTATACTCTTATTGTGCTTTTAAATGTTACTGATTCTTATAGTGATGTCAAATATGCTATTAATTATGGTAGGAACAATGTGACGCTTGACACTGTTGTGAATGGGTTATAAAGTAAAGAGCTGGATTTAAAAGCTCATAAAAGGAGTAGAAATTCGGGTGGGTTCATTGTCTTAGAGGTAGGCAACAAAATAGATTTTAAAATCAAAAGCCTTCTAACAATAATGGTAACCAACTTGCTGAAAAGAAAGTGTAAAAAAAAGAAGTCGTTCTAAATCCCATCATAAAAATCCTAAGTGTTACAATTGTAGTGACATTGGGCATTATGCTAAAGAGTGTACTAAATCCAAAATGAATTAAGTTAATGTGGGCTCGTGTAGTGATAATCTTGGTGATGTGTTTGTGGTGACTGAAACGTGTGATAAATATGCTGATGTGAACTATGTGCATTCTAATCTTTGTGAAAATTAATAGCTATTTGATTCTGGTTGTAATTTTCACATGTATCCATTTGTTTTCAAACTACAAAGAGGTTAAAAATGGTTTTGTTTCTATGGCAAATGAAAAGCTTCGTGGCGTTCCTGTTATTGGTTATATGCGCCTTAAATTTGATTTTAGTTATGTGCTTGGTTTGAAAAATGTTCGTCATGTTCCTGACTTGTGCCATAACTTGGTTTCTTGGTGCTGCCCTTGACGAGTTAGAGGGTAAATGGGGTTATTAATATTATGAAAGGTTCTTTGGTTATTTTCAAAGCTGAAAAAAGGAAAAACTTTTGTGAATGTTGTTTATGAGGATCAAACTAATATTTGGCATAGACGATTATGTCATATAAGTAGTCGTGGTCTTGAAGTTTTGATAAAAGTGAGCTGCTTTCGTAAAGATAAATTATCTTGTGTATCGTTTTGTGATTCTTGTGTGCTTGGCAAGCAACAACGTGTTAAGTTTTCTGTTTCACCTTTCCCTCAAACCCTCTATGTGACGAAAGTTCTTGAATATTTGTATGCCGATGTTTGGTCCTGCAGTGTTTCGACACATGACGGGAGTAGGTTTTTCTTGTCCGTGATTGATAATTTTTCAAGAAAGGTCTTTATGCTCCTTTTAAAAAATAAGTCTGATGTGTTTGAAACTTTTAAGACTTCGAAAATCTTGATTAAAAACCGAACTAAAAAAAGAATAA